CTCAGGGGGTTGGGGATTCGGGAGTTGGGGGTCCAAGGGGCTGAGGGATCACGGAATTGGGGTTCAGGGGGCTCAGGGGGTTGGGGTGTCTGGAGGTTTGGGGAGACTGGGGGATCTGGGGGGCTTTGGGTGCTGGGAGGGTCAGGGGTGCTGGGGGCTGGGGGACCATGGAATTGGGGTTCAGGGGGCTCAGGGGGTTGGGGGTCTGTGTGTTCAGGGGGTCAGGGGCCGGTGTCCCCCCCCCAAGGCCGCTGTCCCTGTGTCCCCCCAGTTCATGCTGGCGACAGACAAGTTCCAGCTGGGGTACACGGAGGGGGGGCACTGCAAGGGGGACCCCAACCGCCAGCTGGCCCCGCCCCAGCGCCTGCAGTGGGACATCCCCCCCGAGGTGAGAGACCCCCAGGGCGGGGGGCAGGAGGGGGGGTGGGTGGTGGTGCCAGTGCAGGGACCGGTGCGGGTGTGGATGTGGGTGTGGGTGCCCGTGCTGGTGTGGGTGTGTGCAGGTGTCATGCCAGGGTGTGTGCAGGTGTGTGTGCTGTGCCATGTCGGTGCCACGTTGGTGCCATGTCGGTACCACGTTGGTGCCACATCGGTGCCGTGTCAGTGCTGTGTCAATGCCACGTCAGTGCCACATCAGTGTCTCATTGGTGCCACGTCAGTGCCACGTCAATGCCACATCAGTGCCATGTCAGTGCCACATCAGTGCCACGTCAGTGCCACATCAGTGCCATATCAGTGCCACGTCGGTGCTGTGTCAGTGCCACGTCGGTGCCACGTTGATACCTTGTTGGTGCCATGTTGGTGCCACATTGGTGCCTTGTCTGTGCCACGTCGATGCCAGGTCAGTGCCACATCAGTGCCACAGCGGTGCCATGTCAGTGCCGTGTGGGTGCCACATTGGTGCCATGTCAGTGCCATGTCAGTGCCACATCGATGCCTTGTCAGTGCCATGTCAGTGCCTTGTCGGTGCCACGTTGGTGCCGTGTTGGTGTCACATCGGTACCACATCAGTGCCATGTCAGTGCCATGTCAGTGCCATGTCAGTGTCACATTGATGCCTCATCGATGCCACATCGGTGCCACGTCTGTGCCACGTTGGTGCCTTGTCGGTGCCACATCGGTGCCACACTGGTGCCACATCAGTGCCATGTCGATGCCACATCGGTGCCACGTTGGTGCCGTGTCAGTGCCATGTCAGTGCCATGTCGGTGCCACATCAGTGCCACCCCGTGCCACCCCCCCAGGGCATCGTTGCCATCGAGGGCTCCCTGCGCGTGGCCCAGGCCTTGGCGGACGACGTGGATTTCTGCTGCTTCCCCTTCACCACCTTCGGGAAGGGGCTCATCAAGCGCTGCCGGACCAGCCCCGACGCCTTCATCCAGATCTCCCTGCAGCTGGCACACTTCCGGGTGAGCCGGGAATCGGGGCGGGAATGGGATGGGGGGAGGTGGGAATGGCGAGGGATGGGTGGGTTGGGGTGGGAGAGGGTGGGAATGGGGTGGGGATGGAGGTGAGGATGGGATGGAGATGGAGGTGGGCATGGGGTGTGGATGAGACAGGGATGGGAGGGATGGGATGGGATGGGGATGGAAGTGGCCATGGGATATGGATGGGACAGGGATGGGATGGAGATTGAGGTATGAGTGGTATGGAGATGGAGGTGGGAACAGGATGTGAATGGGACAGGGATGGGATGGAGGTGGGCATGGGGTGTGGATGGGACAGGGGTGGGATGGGGATGGAGGTGGGCATGGGATGTGGATGGGACCATGTGGATGGGAGGGGTGGGATGGGGTGGAATCGGATGGGTAGGAGTGATCTTGGGGATGCAGGTGGTGACAGGATGGAGATTGAGGTGGGATAGGGGCAGGGATGGAAATAGGGATGCAGATGGGGATGGGACAGGATGAGGTGGGATGGGATGGGGTGGGATGGGATAAGATGAGGTGGGAATGGCGAGGGATGGGTGGGTTGGGGTGGGAGAGGGTGGGAATGGGGTGGGGATGGAGGTGAGGATGGGATGGAGATGGAGGTGGGCATGGGACGTGGATGGGACCACGTGGATGGGAGGGATGGGATGGGGTGGAATTGGATTGAATGGGATGGAGATTGAGGTGGGACAGGGGCAGGGATGAAAACAGGGATGCAGATGGGGATGGTGTGTGGATGGGACAGGGACAGGATGGGATGGGATGGGATGGGATGAGATGAAGTGGATGGGGAAAGAAATGGGAATGGAGTGAGGAAGGAGATGGGTATGGGATGGGATGGAGTCGGATGGAACGGGATATGGATGAGACTGGGATGAGGATGTGGTGGGGTTGGGGCCAGGGAGCAGGATGGGGCCAGGGCCAGCCCTCCAACCCCCCAAATCCACGGCTCCCACAGGACAAGGGCTCCTTCTGCCTGACCTACGAGGCCTCCATGACGCGGCTGTTCCGCGAGGGCCGCACCGAGACCGTCCGGTCCTGCACGGCCGAGGCCACGGCCTTCGTGCGCAGCATGGCCGACCCCCGGCACAGCGTGAGCCCTCCTGGGGGTCCCTGTCCCTCCTGGGGGTCCCTGTCCCTCCTGGGGGTCCCTGTGCCTCCTGGGGATCCCCATCCCTCGTGGGGGTCCCAGTCCCTTGTGGGGTTCTCCATCCCTTGTGGAGGTCTACACCTCTGGCAGATGGTTCTATTCCTTGGGAATGGACCTGTCCCTGGAGAAAATACCCATCTCTTGGGATGGCACCATCCTTCCTGGAGGTCCCCATCCCTCCTAGAGGTCCCCATCCCTCCTGGGGCTCTTCAGCTCTGGGAGAGAACCCTATTTCTTGGGAACATCCCCATCCCTGGAGCAAGCGCCCGCCTCTGGAGCAGGTCCCTTTCCCTCTGGAGCCCCCTGTCCCTTGGAGAGATCCCTGTCCCCAAGGAGGTCCCTGTCCCTGGGAAGGGTCCTGCCCCATAGGGACGTCCCTGTCCCTGTGGAGCTCCCACCCCTCAGGGATTCCCCTCTCCCTGGGCAGGTCCTTGTCCCCCTTGGCACCATCTCCCTCCCCGGGCAGGACGGGAGCCCTGGGGTGCGGGTTGGGGTGTGAATTGGGGTGCAGGTCGGGGTGTGAGGTCGAGTTCTGTCCCCCCCGTCCCCCCCGCAGCGCTCGGAGCGGCAGAAGCTGTTCAAGGCGGCGGCCGAGAAGCACCAGCAGCTTTACCGGCTGGCCATGACCGGCGCCGGCATCGACCGGCACCTCTTCTGCCTCTACCTGATGTCGCGGTACCTGGGCACCCAGAGCCCCTTCCTGGCCAAGGTCAGGGGGGGGGGAGGGCGCAGGGGGGTTACAGGACACGGCGGGGGGGCAGGGGGGCAAGGGGTGTCACGGGGGGACAGGGGACACGACGGGGACACGGGGCGGGGGACAGCACGCAGAGGCACGGCGGGGTGGGCACGGGGCACAGTGGGGTGCAGCGGGACACGATGGGGTGCCCCGGGGTGCCCTGGAGCGCAGGGGGTGCAGCGGGACACAATGGGGTGCCACGGGGCACGGTGGGGTGCAGCGGGACACGGTGGGGTGCCCCGGGGTACAGTGGGGTGCAGCGGGACACAGTAGGGTGCAGTGGGACACAGTGGGGTGCTCCGGGGCACAGTGGGGTGCAGGGGAAACACGGTGGGGTCCCCGGGATGCCCCGGAGCTCAGGGGGTGCAGCGGGACATGGTGAGGTGCCCCGGGGGTGCCCCCGGAGCGCAGGGAGTAGCACCGAGCGGCCCCGCAGGTGCTGTCGGAGCCGTGGCGTCTCTCCACCAGCCAGACCCCGCAGCAGCAGCTCAAGATGTTCGACTTCGACAAATACCCCGACCACGTGTCCAGCGGCGGCGGCTTCGGCCCCGTGAGCACCGGGGGGGGCTCAGGGGGGGCACGGGGGGGGCGCGGGGGGTGTGGGCACGAGGGTGGCTGTGGGGGGCTGCGGTGCGTCCCCCCCACGGCTCTGGGACGGGGGGATGCCCCACATCAAGTGCTCCCAGTACCGGGTAAGTGCCCCGTGCCGGCGCCCCCGGCCCCACATGAATGCCCCGGGTGGGCGCCCCACAGCCCAGGTGGGTGCCCCAGGTGGGTACCGGGTGTCCCCGGGTGCCCCACGGCCCCTCACCACCCCCCTCCGCAGGTGGCAGACGATGGTTACGGGGTCTCCTACATCATCGCCGGGGAGAACCTCATCACCTTCCACATATCCAGCAAGTTCTCCAGCCCCGAGACGGTGAGGGAGGGGGGCACCGGGGCCGGAGGGGGGGGGATTGGAGGGCTGTGGGGCCACCTGTGGGGTCACTTGTGGGTCTGGGGCAGCCCCTGACCCTGGCCTTGCCCCTGCTGCCTCCTGGCACCCCTCCTGTGGGACCCCCACCCCATTCCAGTTCCCCTCCTGTGGAACCCCCACCCCATTCCAGTTCCCCTCCTGTGG